GCTTTGGATTTTCAAATTTATTCTTAAATTTGTACAAAACATCTTTTGTACAAAACATCTTTTGTACATTACAAAACAGAATGTTTTGTAATGTACAAAAGATGTTTATAATTTCAAATTTAAGAATAAATTTGAAAATCCAAAGCTCTCTGCATTTGCTAAAACACATAAACCTGGTACTTTGCTAAAGCCTATTGTTGACAAAGCCAGATTCCCCACTCACCAATTAGAAAATAGGATCTACTATCTGCTAGTAGTATATTTGAATAACTACAAATTTATGATTAAAGACACATGAGTGCTAGTTGAAGAGCTATAACAAAATATGTTAACTAATGATGGCAGTTAACTTATGTTTTGTAATGTATAAAACATTCTGTTTTGTACATTACAAACATTCTATGCAGATGTGAAGCACATGTACAGTACATAAGATCAAAAACGTTTATCTGAATTAAATTAAACTTTATACTGATGTCACATTAAGATTTATTGTTCTGTATGTTTGTTGATTCATCCAGTTTTTGAGTATATTTGAATTCTAGATTTTTTGTTTCATCAATATTGAACTCAACATTACTAATTTAAGTTTCCAGTATTGAATTCAAATTTTTATATGATAAAAAAATAGTGATGAAAAAATAACAGCATGAAGTTAGACATACACATAATCCTCAATTTAAATAGCAAATTAGTTCTATGATAGTTTCATGTAAATCAAAATCATATAATCATCACTTTGTAAATCAAGACTAAAAATTATCTGAGAAATACAGAATCTATCACCTTATTTGTGATATAAATGTTAGTTTAAATTTATATAATTTCAATTTACACAAAACATTGTGGAACCATTCTATCATGTATAGAATACGAAGGTATTATCTATTGATCATGAAATCAATATAACTGCTATGATAGGCAGTGATGTTCCTTAATATATGAATTGCTATGTTTTTTCTATAAGAGATGAAATTAAAAAATCTTTGCATCAAGATATTTCTTTTCCAGTGGGTCTGTTATTACATGAAAATAATGGTAATACTAGTTTATTTGTTTTTCTAGTTATGGAATATAAAAATAGATTCACGATAAACCTTTCATGAAATATAAAAAGATTCACAATAAACGAGTGACCAGTAAAATATTTATTTGAAAAAACAAACGTTTTCGACTGTATTCTTTGGCCTTCTTCAGGTTAAATGTTCCGAGATTCGAAAAGCCATTGTGCTTTAAGATTTAAAAGTTTTGGAACATACTCAACTCATTATGCGCATGCGTATCAAGCATTGCATAAACAAAAATATATTTAAACAATATTATTTGACACACACATGAAATGGTGGAAAACACCCTAAATTGAGTTGTGGGGACCTTCTCCTTCAAAAACAAACTTCCAAGCTGTAGAAATATTAATCGCATCATTATAGTTGAAGCAGTTATTGCGTAACCCCGCTTTATATATTTCCAGAGTTTCTAGCGTTCGTATTTGTTCCCTTCTGTGTGAAAGTTTAATGATTCGTGCGTTATGCAAGTCAGCACTTATGCCCGGAGTTGAAGCATAAGTAGATAGGGCAATGGTGTATCTGTTATGATCAATGTCATACTTGTGTTCGCATATATGTTTATCTAGAGAGCATATCGAGGACCCAATATATACCAGGTCCCTTTAAAATCTATGGTTCCTTAGTGGGACAGAATATACCCCTGGAGCCAATCTTTTGTCTATGTTGTCTTTGCAGTTGCGCAGAATGTCATAAATGGTACTACACCTGCTATATGCAATTCTCTTGTTTGTACATGCAGAAATTTCTCTGTAAATCGGGTCAAGGTGGTGGTTATATTCAACCACAGCCAAAGACTGAAAATTGTTGGAGTTGTTCGTGTGTGAGCTACCGTTGTCATTATTATATACTTGTGATGAATAGGCAAACGCTAGGTTCTGAATTAATCTTGGCCCATATCCGTGTCACGTGGCTATGTTCTGGATGCGTTGTAATTCTGCCAATGTATCATCGAACTTTTAGTGGTGTGTAAATGCTCTTTTGGTTAGGGCCCAGAATGCCGCTACCTTGTACGAAAAGGGGTCATCAGAATTGGCCGGGATGAATAGAGGCGTGTAGCATGGCTTGTAATGGACCTTGGTCGATATACTGTCGCCATTTAATTGTATATTGATATCAAGGAAGGTAGCATTCAAATTGTTTATTTGGTCCAATTTGATGCAGAGGCCATATGGGTCATTATTCATTGCGTCAATGAAGTTATTTATATCTGGCTTAGCATTCCACATAATAAAGATGTTATCAACGTATCTTTTATAAATAAGTATGTTAGAAATATACATAGGTACTATTCTTTGTTCTAGTTGTCTAACAACTAACTCACACAAATCTCCTGAAAGTGAGCTGCCTATAGAGATACCATGCTTCTGGAGGTACGTTTTGCTGTTGAACCAAAAAAATGATGTGTAGCATAACAGGTGGGCAAGATCTAATACTTGTTTACAATACGCCCCATATGAAGTTAGTAATAGGTCCCTAATTGCGCAAAAGCATGGCTGGATTTTTATAGAAGGATATAATGAAACGAAATCAAGCACAATGATGTACGTTCGATCATTAATGCTAAGCAGTCTCAAAGCTTCCAATAACTCTACTGAGTTCCTAACCGTCCATGGATAATTGTTTAAGCTATGAGCTATATGCTTGTGTATAGCCGTGTCTAACATTCTAAGGGGATCGTGCCTTATCAAGGGTCAGTCTCAATGAAGGTATATTCTTGTGTGTTTTGGCAAATGCAAAGAGCCTGGGAGTGTCAGGGGAAGGCACCACTGCCCTATTTATGTTCAATACTCTAGCCAAGGTGTTTGAGTAAACTTTTTTACATGCACTTGTAGTTTGTTGACAAATCCATCCTCGATAAGTTCACACTCCGTATCATTGATTTATTTTTGCATCATCGAAATGTACGTTTTCTTCTTCAATAACACCAGAGCCTTGCTTTTATCAGCCTTGAGAATTACTATGTTATCTTTTAACCACTTCTTGGACTTGCAAATCTGCTTCCAAATTCGGTTGTCTTATATATGGTTGTTAGTAAGTTGTATCTTGAATGCTGATTTCCATCTGAAATATTCTTTATGCACTTCATTCATCCCAGTGATCAGATTTTCTAAATCAGACATCACTTTTTTAGTTCGTAGAAATTGCGAGGGGCAAACATGGGTCCATGTGATAGTGAGCAGATGAGAAAATCAGGAGGTGATATGTTGTCCCAGCATTTCAAGGATGAGAGTTATAGTACCTCATGCTGTTTTTGCTTGTTGAGAATCCAGTCAAATTTCTTTTGATAATGTATGGATAGGCTTCTTTCAAGCTTATGTTGGAAGTAACAATTGTTGGAGGTAACAATTTTCATATTGACTTTTTGTAGTAACCCCGGATCCTGGTTGTGTATTTGATTCTCAACATTGATTATGCAATTGAGTTTAAAAAACACCATCTTGCATGTTGTGCGTATTGCCTTCCGTAAACATAATATTCTAAGCTTGGGTAACAATGATTCACATCTAACAGGTAGACATATTCGTTGAATGGACATAGGGAACACCCCTCTATTCTTGCATATTGTAAGGAATCTCAGCTTAGCCGTAGCCCTAATAAGGGCTAGAACTGCCTTCTTATATAATTTAACCGGCATAGCTTCAAATACCTTGTGTAAGGTTCTTCCTCACCAGGTACTGGTACAATATATATAAAAATAGATTCATGATAAACCTTTCAGTGACCAATATTTGAAAAAACAAATGAGCGAATTGCATAACGTGCAAATCATTAAACTTTCACACAGAAGGGAACACATACGAACGCTAGAAACTCTGGAAATATATAAAGCGGGGTTACGCAATAACTGCTTCAACTATAATGATGCGATTAATATTTCTACAGCTTGGAAGTTTGTTTTTGAAGGAGAAGGTCCCCACAACTCAATTTAGGGTGTTTTCCACCATTTCATGTGTGTGTCAAATAATATTGTTTAAATATATTTTTGTTTATGCAATGCTTGATACGCATGCGCATAATGAGTTGAGTATGTTCCAAAACTTTTAAATCTTAAAGCACAATGGCTTTTCGAATCTCGGAACGTTTAACCTGAAGAAGGCCGAAGAATACGGTCGAAAACGTTTGTTTTTTCAAATAAATATTTTACTGGTCACTCAAAGGTTTATCATGAATCTATTTTTATATATATTGTACCAGTACCTGGTGAGGAGGAACCTTTACACAAGATAGTTATGGAATGCAAATTAGTCAATCTATCTAATGTGAAGATTGCTCAGCTTAATCCTTTGATATTTTCTGTTAAGCCAAAATTGAGTATTTTGCATGATATAGTTATGTGAAGGAAAGCAAAGAGAAGAACTGATATCCATAAAGCAAAAAGTTCTGAGATGTTTCCAGTCAATGAAGTGTTATATTTTAATAAGCAATGCTGCTTAATTATCTTATGTCACATGACTGATTATAAAACATTAATTTGCCAAAAAAAACAAGAAATATGTTTATTAATATCACAATAAAGCCTTCAGATTTATTTCATTTTCTGATAAAAGAAAAGAAAATGATAATTTTCTTCATGATATCCATTAATTTTAATTTTAAACACTTTTTATTATATTCAATTAATAATTAAACAAATAAAACAGATAAAATTAAAATAAGAGGATCAAAAATATTTTATTAAAAAGTAAATACAATTTGATAGCCTATTTAAAAAATTTTAAAATATTTCATAAAAAAAGAAATAATTTTTCTTTTAATATAAAAATTAGGATTAAATCATAACATTAACTTTTTCAAATTTCTTGAAAATACTCATTTTTTGATTTTTGTCTTGAAGGTTAATATTCTTTGATTTGATTATAATAAAATATTTATAGAAGAATAAGATCAGTTTGCAATATTTTATGGAAATAATTATTTATATAGAAAACTTACCAAAGCTAAACTGCTGACAAGAATCATTGATATTACAATTGTTTCAAAATATTTGTTTTCAACTAAACGAAAACATTTTGTTCTTGATTCCTTCCAAATTACCCAATATTTATTTTCATCATTGCCTAAACATGCTGGATATCGAACATAACAACAATCAGGACAACAGTCTGGTGGGTATTCAGAAATAATGACATCTGCAGTTGTTGTTTCCATTTTATCCGTATCAATATCTTCAACATCAGGATTTTGTTCATCACTAAAGTTATTTGATAAATCTAAGTTTAAAATAAAGAAAAAAAAGGCTATCACTCCTATATTTGAAAATGAGAATAAATAAATACTGCAATAAATGAGTTTTAATATAATACAGTAGACTTGTGATTATCTGGTCTAATGTGGCAAATGGCCAATCTGAATAAGGAAAAAGCCAGATAACGTAGAGACTGAAGAAAAAGCATTCCCCGCACAGTCAAGCAGTTTTAATATAAAATTTTCATGAAAAATAATCCAGTAAGATGCATTTATCATAACACATTATACGTGAAATAACTACCGTGTTTCCCCGAAAATAAGACATCCGCAGAAAATAAGACCTAGCACAGATTTTGCTGAATTGCGAAATATAAGACCTCCCCCTGAAAGTAAGACCTAGCGAAGTTTTTTTTTTACTCGTAACGGTCATCGACAGATGGTTGAAAGTGGCCGTTGGGTTTTTGAAAGTACAGCCACTGATTGGTCAGCAGACAATTACGCCACACGGCATGATTTGCATAAGACTATGGCTTGGGAATCACAGATTTGCATAACGTTACGGCTGGTGATGGCTAATTGGTCGGCCGGGAATCACGCCACATGACATTTGCATAGTGCTACGGTTCAGTAAGCACTAATTGGTCATTGAGTCCGATGTTGACGCTATAAAAAGGCGACAGTTCGACACACCGGATATACATCACTTTCGTGTAAGTTCAACTTGGGAATTTTTTTGTTCAATAATAAATGTTAATTCTTCTTCCTGGAAAAAATAAGACATTCCCTGAAAATAAGACCTAGCGCATTTTTCAGAGTAAAAATTAATATAAGACACTGTCTTATTTTCGGGGAAACACGGTATGTTTTATGAAAATGTTTGCTATCACATTTTTATACAATATTAATATTTAATAATACTGTACTGTAATAAAAAGTGCAAAATAATTACATTTTTATAATTATTTTGCACTTTTGTTTATATAAAAAAAATCTTTGACATGGCAGATTGGACTGGATAATTGCAAAGCTACTGTATTACATATATATGTATACACACACACACATCACAAATGCATACACAGGGTGTCCCAAAAGAAATGGTCAATATTCTAGGAGGTGAAAGAGTAGGTTATTTTAAGCAAAAAAGTTCATATAAGCATGTACTCTATCCTAAAGTTTCTGAGATTAGAAGCATTTGATTTTTTTTTAAGTAACAAATTTCCAACAATTTATAGTAAATTTTCAAAAATTTCACTGTCAACTTCAATGGACTTTTTATTCTCATGAGAACAAGGCATTTTGCTTGTCTGAATGTATTTTCACATTCCTGTATGTGGGTTACAGTGCCCATTAAGCAAGCTACCATTCATCTTGTATACACATCTTTCTTTTGGGACATTCCAATTTTCAATGCAAGTGTTGAGTGTTGAAGTCAACAATTTGACGTCATCAACAACGTTCCAACTCGAGTACAAATTAGTTCCCATAATTCCACTCTCAGCAAGATGGACTCCATTCAAATGTTGCACCAATTACCCACAATTCATTGGAAAGTAGCAATCAACATGTCTGTTGAATGCTGAGTGTGTTGAGACAGTGCCACTTCAACGTTGAAAAAATGAACGATTTTTAACGAACGTTGAGATCAGCGCTGAGTCAGTGTTGAAAATTGGAATGTTCCATTTGATACAATTCACTTTTCATCCAACCCCATAAAATAGTGTTGCCACCTTTTCAAAATCGCTGACTCAGACAGCAGGTTAGGTTTGTTCGAACAGAAGTTCCTGATGCATGCACAATGTCATTTTGCAATGCAAAGAATAATGTGCAGTGCATGCCGGTTTTAAATCAGTTACAGTTAGGGACTAGGGAGACTTGGGTAGAAGTAACATAAGTAACTAAATTAAGAAAAAAAAACTACAGATGACTTAGCTCTACTGGATACATGGAGATGTGTACGAATATGAATTGTACGAGCAAAAAAAAAAAAAAAAACAGGTTGCGCAGAATATTCCTGGACAAAATTAATAGTTCACCCAGACAGTGAGTCAATTCCCAGACTGTCCGGGTGAAAACCGGATGGGTGGTAACACTACCCATAAACAAAAATCTAATGAGGTTGGATCTGACAATCTTGGTGGCCAGTTAAAAGCATCATCACCACCAATTAGGGAAAATGTGGTCATGATATTAGAGAGGTTGCAGCGCAAGTTCAAATGTTACTTCTACATGGCAAGCAGAAGTACACGGTTTACGTTTTAACTCCAAGAAAAAATTGTTGTGGCAGACTTTCACAATATCACGTGACTCAGTGAACGGCACGCATTGACTCGGGAAATTTGTTGAAAAATGGTGGAACCATTTGACAACGAATGTTACCAGCAAAGGTAAATAAACAAATTAAACTATTTTAAAGTATTTATAGGATGTTTAATAACACTAAATTATTATTTTTAATTAGTGTGGTCCTACCATATGATCAAATGATAGGCCTACCTCATACTTTTGTCGAGGGAAGAAGTAGTGGCTTATGTAAATTTGAAAGCAGCTCGGAAAATTAATTTTTAGGAAATTTACAAACATATTATGCTGTTGATAGTAGAAGATGCCGTGGAAGAACAAACCTACCTTAAGATAAGCTATTATGAAGACAAATACATGTAAATTCTATAGGAACTTCACATCACTTGCAAAAAAATTGAATAATTAAATAATAGAGAGGTTGCGGCTGATGTTTTCATCGCGAAAACATAAACGTTGGACGTTCAGCACCGCCATCCTGTAAGCCTAAAAGTTTGACAATGGCATTTGGAATGTCAAGCTTGACTCCACCAATGTTCCAAGCACCATTGTCAAACTTCTAGGCTTACAGGATGGCGATCCGACATTTATGTTTTTGCAATGAAAACGTTGGCCGCAACCTCTCTAATTTCTGGATTAAAATTGTCTGTTTCTTTACAATATTATTTGTAAATGCTTAAATAATGATTATTTTAATAAAATATATCATAATTTTAACCCCAAACACAAAAAAATGTAGAAGTTTAAGCCAATCATCTACTCGCCATGACAGACGTAACAACCACCATTATCGACCGTCCAGAATTGCCAGATGATGGCGCTCAATGGTCCACCATTCACGTTTTGGGCTAAATACAACGGCCACAACCTCTCTTGTTCACATGTCTGGTAGACTGGTAGCCACAATCTCAAACCATTTGGGATGGAACACATGTTTATATGAATTTTTTTGCTTAAAATAATCTATCCTTTTACCTCTCAGAATATTTACCTTCTATCCTGGGACACCTGTATGTAGTTAGATTATTTACTGTAATAGAGTCTGATAATCAGTCCTACAAGACTAATTTGGATAGAAATAAGATTATTATTATATAAATGTTTAATTAAACAATGTTTATAGTTAAAAAAATTTATAAGCTGAAATACATACATTCTTGTTTGAAAAAGAAGCATAATTGTCCAATCCATAGATATAGCAAAAACTAAATAAAATAAACAGCTGTGAGATCCTGAAGTGAAAATATTCAAACATTCACCCTAACACCCTCCCTTAATAATTTTGTAAAATAATGTATATTTTAATTGAATGGTTCACAATATATTATGATAACAGAAACATGTTTGTTTGTTCCTGCTGATTTATGAATAACTTCAAACTTAACATCAATAACTGTCAATGAAAAATAAACACACTGTCTGATCTAAAATAATGAGAGTCCTAAGATCAGAAACATCTCTGATTTGTATTGACTTTTGGCAGCAAATTAATTGCTGACATCAAACTTGCAATTCAAGAAGGCCTCTAATTTCACTCATAAACAGATGAGGGACCAATCAGGTTATAAGGAAGACTAAGACCAATCAAGATGTCCAATTGAGAGATCCAAACTGTAGTAGTCTTGTGTGTTTTATTTGCTGCTGATTTCTTTCTACCTTGCTGATGACAATGGTGAGACTCATTAGAGACATATATATGTACTTTTCTGCAGCATGTCATCAAGTCCCTTGTTGAACTTTGGTATTCATCACTTCTGATATCTAAAGCCTTTCTTCTTTGGAGAAATAAATGGATTTTCTTTGCTGGGATCAAGGTGAAACATCCTTGAACCTTTTGTGAATAACTATAATATTCAAATGGACCAAATATTGTAAAAATGTCTCTCAAAATGAATGGTGTTTTAAAACAGATTAAACAAATATCAACCATGCTGATTTTTAAGGTTTTATTTTATTTTAAAAACGTTTTGGCTTGAACAGTTTTAAACTTTAAGAATAGTTTATATAAAATGGAACAACCAGTCTGTTCTTTTAATTCAAAAGCTGTGTTATTTTATATAAGCTTAAAATTTAAAACAGTTCTTAACTGAAGATGATTCAAAAATGAGCCAAAAACATTTGTAAAACAAAGATTAAGTTTGGTAATCTTAAAAAGCAGTATGGTCAATATTTGTTCTACTCTAGTACCAACCAAGTTTTGTGAATCTTTAAACAGATTTAACAAGTCATCCTTCATCCCAGACGCTCACCTACATACATAATTTTTTTCTGATCAAAAAGAGCCATAACTACATTAAGTATTGAAATAATAATTTTTAGAAAATTTCAATTTTTGGATCAAAAGTGGCCATGACTAGATGGCAGTGTAGTCATGGCCACTTTTGATCCAAAAATTGAAATTTTCTAAAAATTATTATTTCAATACTTAATTAACTGCTTCTTATGGAAACGAAAAGTATTATTTTGATGCAATAATGTTTTCAGTCTAAAGAGTCATCTTCAATGTCTATTGCAACTTTTACACAAACTTCTTTACATTCTACCAAAACTTTTCTGCAAAGTTCATTAGGAAATCTTTGTTTTGAATTGCTTTTTACAACTCTTTATGGATATTTTCTGATTTAAAAAATTAAGCTTTATGTAAGAATATAGAACGTGTCCTCAATGGTTAGAATATTTAAAAATTCTAAGACTTCCAAAAATTCTTTTCATTTTGAATCTTTAATTAATTTATTTAAATTAAATTAAATATATATATAT